TATTTATGTTTTATAATTTTTTATCATTTACTTCTTTTTTTATTCTCACACGTTGGATTATAATTTTTTTACAATTTATAACTTTTTCGCAATTTTTTAAATATTATGTGAATTTTTTGGTACCCGTCGATCCGCTGGGTACCCATAGACCCGACGGGTATCTGCCTGGGTCTGGGGCCAAAATGAAAGAACGGTGCGGGTCATCCTTAATTTTGTTGTTTTGTTTTCAAAAAAAGATAATAAGAATAAGAGTTAATTACCCTCGTGCCTCTGACTTTTAATGAAATTACACAAACCATCACTCTATTTTTTACCCATACAAAAAAACTATGGTTTTTGCACATATATTATACATAAAACTCCTGTATGTGAAATAAGTGTGATTTTTTACATAAAAAATTTGATAAGTGTAATGAAGTTAAACAAAATATCATAGTTTTAAAAACCGTGCCGTACCGGCCGGTTCAACCGGAAAACCGGTGAACCGGACCCCTAACCGGTACGGTATGTATGTTATACCGCATATGCAATATAACCGGTCAAAACTGGTAAACCGGTTTAAACCGGTTGGTTTGTACATTAATTTTTTTTTTTTAAAAATTCAAATTTTCAATTCTTCACCAATTTTTCAACTTCAATGATTGATACTTGTGTCATTTATTTGTATTTTGCGTTTGTTAAGTGATAATTTTGGATAAATATATGTTTTGTACTTTAGACTTTGATTTTATTAAAGATTTAATGTTGTTTGTTTGTGTGAATTTGAAGTAAATTATGAATATGGATTATAAATATGAATATTTACTTATTTGAAATTTTTTGTTATAGGTTTACATATACATATATAAGCAAGTATGTCCGGTTTAACCGGCATGCGGTTTAATTACTGAACCACTGGTTGAACCACTGTACCACTATACCAGTACCCTCATCGGTTTGATAACCGGTACGGTTTTAATAACATTGCAAAATATGGTATATTGTGGAAACAAGTCCAAATAGTATATCAGTCAACACATTTTCATTATTTTTTGTTCGTTATAATATATATAAATGTGATTTAAATAATATATCCTTATAATTATTTATGCATTTTCTAATGAACCAAAAATAATGAAAATGTATTGACTTGTATACTATTTTGATTTGTCTCTACAATATATCATATTTGTTTAACTTCGTTACACTTATCATCATTTTTTATGTAAAAAATCACATTTATTTCACATGCATGGGTAGTCTGTGTAATGTATGCATAAAAATTAGGGGGATTTTTGTAGGGATAAAAAATGAAGGGATAATATGTATAATTTTATTAAAATTCAGGATATAATTGTGTAATCTATTACTATATAAGAAAAAAGGTTCTTCATGCCACATGTCAATCTCCATAAAAGTTTCCCCCAAAACATGTTCATTGCTTATGGTAAGGTCTCACACATTATAACAATATATATCACTATTATTGAACTTAATGGAAAATAATTCATTTCCCCAAAAATCATAATTTATTATCTATTATTATTGGAATTTTTTTATCATTGAAATTGAAAATCAGAAATAACAAATGTATTTGCTATTTATGTTTTCCGTAAAATTACTAGTACGATGAGTGTTTGAAAGTTGAAATTATTATTGGAAATTTTTTTATCATTAGAATTGAAATTCAGAAATAACAAATGTATTTGCTATTTATGTTTTCCGTAAAGTTATTACTACGATGAGTATTTGAAAGTTGAAATTGAGGTTGTCGCGGACATCATGTTGGGAAATAAGTATCACATCGCATACCTCATTGTCTCGGAAATAATTTAAATACATGTTGGACTACTCCTCTCATTGCTAATTAGTTTTGAGATAAAACATTTACATGGTATCAGAGTCAAAAATGTACAAAAATATGTCATTTAGTTATCGGTCAAATGTAACATTTCGTCTGATCCGACAGTCCTTATGTGGAAGGAGCATGTTGGGAAATAAGTTTCACATCGCCTACCTCATTTTCTCGGAAATAATTTAAATATCTGTTGGGCTACTCCTCTCATTGTTAATTGGTTGAGATGAAACCTTAACACATCACCACTCAATGCTATTATTGGTCATATAATTCTTAATTTTAAGAACATGAGAAGTTTCTACATACTTCAAATTTTCATTTATTGTGGTAATACAATAAATGGAAATCAAATTGTTTCATTTTCTACAACTTTTCCAGTATCATGTTTCAATTTCTTATTTTAATTTTGTTAGAATATTCAAATTTGAAATTATCATTTATTTTCATTATGTGTTTGAATTTGTTAATACATGGGTAACACTTATGTTCTTAACAATGTGAATATATGGGTAACATGTATGTTTTAACTAAGCGAATGCACGAGTAACATGTGTGCTCTTAGCAATGAGAATGCACGAGTAACATGTGCGTTTTAAACCATACAAATGCATAGTTCAAATGTGTGTTTTTAACAATACAAATGCACAAAAAACATGTATTTTTTTAACCATGTGAATGTACATATAACGTGTATATTTTTAACTATATTAATGCTCATATAATCTATGTGTTCTTAATCATATAACAAAAGTACTATCTCGTGCATATACACGGGTAACTTACTAGTTTACTCTAAGAATAACTGGCAGCCCCATATTTGGGATTAGTAGTGGGATAAGGTTATGAGCCATAAACACATAATTTTGTCCAATCTGTTTTTTGCAATTTTATAAAAAACCAAAACATGTGTTTTTAATGTCTTTCTTTACTTGCCTTCTATTTGTATCTTTTATAATAATAAAAAGTAAAAGAGGGATAATTTTGTGTCATCTATTACTATATAGAAATGCAAAGGGCTAGCAAAATTACAATTCTAGAATTCCATATTCTTGACACGTGGCTTATTTAAGGGTATAATTGTCATTTACTATAACTTTAAATAAACTAATAAATAAACACAGATTCCCTAAAATAACCCTCATTATATTTTACCTCATATTACTCAGTTAGGGGTATTTTGGTGAACTTGCTTTTTTTGAATTACCTACCTTCTCTCAGCATTTATTACCTTATGTCAGCATTTATTACTTTCATCTTTCTCACTCTCTCTCTCATCTCTCACTTCATCTTCTTCTTTCTACTCTCTTCTTCCTTCTTCTAATACTCTCCTCTTTTTCATTTTAAAATCTTCATTTTCATCATCCTTCTTCATAAAGGTATATGTATTCATCTTTTTTGTTTATTTTTTTAATTATATTCACCATTTTCTATTCATCACAAAGGTATATGTATTCACCATTTTCTATTCATCATTTATTAATCATTTTCTATTCATCCTTCTTCTACTCTCTTCTTCCTATTTTTAATTACTAAAACATGTTTTGTTATCTTAATAGTTATCAAGAAAAAATAAAATCTTTTGTTCATGGTGAATCTTTTTATTTTCTATTTTTTAGTTCAAGATAACATTCTTTGTATGCTTTATGGGTTCAACATAACATTTTTAAGTTACGAGAATATTTTTAACATCTCATACTCATCTCAAAGGAAAGGTATGTTTTTTCATGTTCTTTAAGTTGATTTTTTTTAAAGTTAATGGAATGTTGATTTTTTGAGTTACGAGAATGTTCTTGATCTCTATTTTTTTTTTTATGTTTTTTCATGTTCGTGATATTTAACATCTCATACTACCTATCTTTTTTTTTCAGAGTTACGCGAATGATGTTTTTTATGTTCAACATTTACTAACAAGGTAACATTTTTTCGTTTCCGTTGGATGAAGCTTTTTATTTTTATTTTCGAGTTCAATATAACATTTTTTTGTGTATTTTTTTTTAATCTTTGAGATGTTCTTTATTGTTGAAAAAAGATGACACATTTGCATGTATGTATAACTATTTTCATTAATGAAGCATGTTTCTCTTATGTCATATATGTGATTTTTGCATTTTACCATGTTGCATCTTTACTGAACCATGAACTTTATTGGATCCCTTTTGTTCAACCTTTATTGTTGTAAAGGTTTCAACTTTACTGAGTTATGAAGCTTTATTTTTTTAATCGATGATTTATGTAGAAATCATATTGTTCTCTTTGTAGAAATCATAGATCTCTCTAAATATATTCATCCTTAGTGTTGTTGTTGCATTGATTCACTATTTCTATCATGTCTCTTTATTTTTGGAAAAAAATGACACATTTGCATGTATGTATTCCTATTTTCATTACTGAAGCATGTTTATTTGTTTGTGAAGGCTGCAACCATTGAAGACGAAAAAGCCTCTATTGAGAATGATATTGTATGTCTCTCTATCATTTACTGGTATAGGGTTTTATATTCATTAATAAATAAGTGTCTTTTAATTCCTTATTATTTATATACTTTTTTGTCTCCCCTAGAAAAACAGGATGGAAAAGACTATTGAAAATATTCGCTCAAATTTCAATTCTATAAGGACTGACAAATCAAACTCAGCTATGCTTGACAAAATTGAGGTATCTTTTTGAACTGCATATTCAATTCCATTTTGAGGGACTTTATTTATATTACACCATAGTTTCATTTTGTATATGGATGAGTTTTTATGTTTTGTGGTAGGTGGAATACTATGGCAGTCATGTTAATTTAAAGAGCATTGCTCAAATTAGCACCCCTAATGCCAATTCTATTTTGGTTCAGCCATACTATAAATTAAGGTATTCTTTGCCCATACATGTACGAAATGGTGAACATATGATCATTATCTTAACAAATGCTAGAATCAAGAAAGGAAAAATTGTAGTAGTTGTATTATTTTCATTTTTAATAATCTTTTTGTAATATACATTCTCTAACTTTTTTACAATTGCATAGGTGACTCTCCTCCAACTGTTTCCCGTTCATGGTATGGATCAAGGCTATTGATTGGTGAAGAAATAGATAATATTAATAAGTATAAGGAAATGTAATAAGATGGGGAAAAATTATTTATATTATCTACCAATGTCTTTTCCAATTGTCAATATGATTGTCATAAATATTTTGTTGTAGGTTTTCTACTTTTCGTCTATGTTTGGACTCATTGAGCGAATGTGACCACCAGTTGTCTCAATATTCTAAGTTAGATCCTATTCCAACAGCTGAGGTCATTTATATTTGTAACACTGTTATTTCGTCGATGGTTATGTTTCAATTTATGTTATTAACGACGAATGCCCTACTTTCCAACAGCCTTCACTTTCTAACGGGGAAAAATGAAATTCATATGCCAATGATTCCCAACAATTAAGAACTGTAAGTGCATAGAACCTTTATTTTAGCTCATTTTAAATGCAAAGGTAATTCCTATATTGTCTCTCATACAAAAAATGTTTGAACTTTTATGGATAGTGTGTCTTTTACTATTATCTACCCATTGTATTTTCCAATTGTCAATATGATTGTCATAAATATTTTGTTGTAGGTTTTCTACTTTTCGTCTATGTTTGGACTCATTGAGCGAATGTGACCACCAGTTGTCACAATATTCTAAGTTAGATCCTCTTCCCATAGCTGATGTAATTTATATTTGTAACATTGTTAATTTGTCGATGGTTATTTTCAATTTATGTTATTAGCGACGAATGCCCTACTTTCCAACAGACTTCACTTTCTAACGGGAAAAAAGGAAATTCAGATGTCAATGATTCCCAACAATTAAAACCTGTAAGTGCATAAAACCTTTATTTTAGCTCATTTTAAATGCAAAGGTAATTCTTATATTGTCTCTCGTACAAAAAATGTTTGAACTTTTATGGATAGTGTGTCTTTTACCATTATCTACCTACTGTCTTTTCCAATTGTCAATATGATTGTCATAAATATTTTGTTGTAGCTTTTCAACTTTTGGTCTATGTTTGGACTCATTGAGCGAATGTGACCACCAGTTGTCACAATATTCTAAGTTAGATCCTCTTCCCATAGCTGATGTAATTTATATTTGTAACATTGTTAGTTTGTCAATGGTTATTTTTCAATTTATTTTATTAACGACGAATGCCCTACTTTCCAACAGCCTTCACTTTCTAACGGGAAAAAAGGAAATTCAGATGTCAATGATTTCCAACAATTAAAAACTGTGAGTGCATAGAACCTTTATTTAGCTCATTTTAAATGCAAAGGTAATTCCTATATTGTCTCTCATACAAAAAATGTTTGAACTTTTATGGATAGTGTGTCTTTTACTATTATCTATCTTCTGTCTTTTCCAATTGTCAATATGATTGTCATAAATATATTGTTGTAACTTTTCTACTTTTCGTCTATGTTTGGACTCATTGAGCGAATATGACCTCCATTTGTCACAATATTCTAAGTTAGATCCTCTTCCCATAGCTGATGTAATTTATATTTGTAATATTGTTAGTTTGTCGATGGTTATTTTTCAATTTATGTTATTAACGACGAATGCCCTACTTTCCAACAACCTTCAATTTCTAACGGGAAAAAAGGAAATTCAGATGTCAATGATTTCCAACAATTAAAAACTGTGAGTGCATAGAACCTTTATTTAGCTCATTTTAAATGCAAATGTAATTCCTATATTGTCTCTCATACAAATAATGTTTGAACTTTTATGGATAGTGTGTCTTTTACTATTATCTACCTACTGTCTTTTACAATTGTCAATATGATTGTCATAATTATTTTGTTGTAGCTTTTCTACTTTTCGTCTATGTTTGGACTCATTGAGCGAATGTGACCTCCAGTTGTCACAATATTCTAAGTTAGATCCTCTTCTCATAATTGATGTAATTTATATTTGTAACATTGTTAGTTTGTCGATGGTTATTTTTCAATTTATGTTATTAACGACGAATGCCCTACTTTCCAACAGCCTTCACTTTCTAACGGGAAAAAAGGTAATTCAGATGTCAATGATTTCCAACAATTAAAAACTGTGAGGGCATAGAACCTTTATTTAGCTCATTTTAAATGCAAAGGTAATTCCTATATTGTCTCTCATACAAAAAATGTTTGAACTTTTATGGATAGTGTGTCTTTTACTATCATCTACCTACTGTCTTTTCCAATTGTCAATATGATTGTCATAAATATTTTGTTGTAGCTTTTCTACTTTTGGTCTATGTTTGGACTCTTTGAGCGAATGTGACCTCCAGTTGTCACAATATTCTAAGTTAGATCATCTTCCAATAGATGATGTGATTTATATTTGTAACATTGTTATTTTGTCAATGGTTATTTATGTTATTAACGACGAATGCCCTACTTTCCAACAACCTTCACTTTTTAACGGGAAAAAATGAAATTCAGATGTCAATGATTCCCAACAATTAAAAACTGTGAGTGCATAGAACCTTTATTTAGCTCATTTTATATGTTATATTATTGATCTATTCTATAATTTTTATATTATTGTGTACAATTGTACTTTGACCATATTATATATTACTTACTAATCTTTGTTACTTCACTTTTATCTTGGAGTAAATGTAATTTATAAAGTACTATTGTGTATTATGCTTTAAATCAGTTGACGACAAGACTTATTTAATAAAATCTTATATCTTCGGCTTGTGTCTCATGTTCCAAATGATTTTACCTTATTTTTGTTTGTTTTAGATAATTCGGAATAATTTTGTCTACACTTTTATATTAATAAATTCTTTTCTCTTAAACTATAATATTAATAATTATTTATTTTACTATTTATATAAATTTGTGAAAAACGGAATCCGCCCGTGCGAATGCACGGGTAACCAACTAGTTTATGATATAAAAAAATGTGTTGGGCCCAATTTCTTGATGGACAAAACTTAAGTACATTTCATTAGGTACAAATGATGCTTGTAGCCTATTAAAATGTAACACGTGTTCATTTATATCATTAAGTCTTTCTCTCTTTTTGCAATTAAGAATCTGTCTCTTCAAAGTATATGTGATAATGAATATGTGTTACCTTTTAATAAACTACAAGCACCATTTGTACCTAAGGAATTGTACCTAAGTTTGTCCCTTCTTGATCTATGTGTTTTAGGTTAGACTTTTAGCTTACAGTGAATATAGTTAAAATACTGAAAATGAGGAGTTATCATTTCCAAATTTAATTGATGGCGTCAATGCCTCCATTTAAGGAGTGAATATCTTTTATACCACAATTTCTCTATTTCTTTATATCAAGTCAATGTAATCATGCCAACTAATAGTAGTTATTGTTTCTTGATAGATGATGAAAAAAATGATTAGCATTATTTTATTAGTTTGCATGATTTTATTGGCTTGGTATAGAGAGATAGAAAATTTGTGATATAGAATATCTTCACTCCCTTTAAGAGTGTAAAATTCACCTCATTTTTGTGTGTGTAATTCACTAATTGAATCAAACATAAAGACATGATTTGATTTATCTCAATTAATTGCAAATTTTATTGCAAGAACCGAATCGAATTGTTCATGAACAGTTTGGTTCGGTTGCACGATTGTCATGGTTTTTGTAAAAAAAAAATTGCATCAATTGAAAGTTCAAAATATATTAGAAGATTTATTGTTTGTCCATAAAATAAAAAAATATTACTATTACTATCATTTAAAAATTGAAACTCATAATTGTTTGTTAGTAATGTATATAACGATTATGTAATTTAGGAAGAAAAAATGAATAATCACACACACATATATATATAATAATACAATTCATAATTAGTAATATATATTTATTAGCAATATATGTAATAATACAATTCACAGTTACTAACATAACAATTTAGTAACATATATAAAAAAAATTGTCCATAAACTGAGAGTCTTTCAAGAATATTATATTAGATAATAGTATAGGGTATTTTGCATTTTATTTTTGCTTAAAAACAATTTTCACCACTTTTCCGAGAAAATAAATTTAAGGTCGGGCAAACATTTGAGCATATATGACTAGATTTATAGTCAAATATTACTCTATGATCAATCTTTAGGAATCTATAATTTAGAAGCATTATCCAACTCGATTCAATTGGATTAATGATAAAAGTGTAAGATTATTGTAATCAAATGAATATATATTATTAAAAGTTATATTTCCTTTTACTTTTTGAAATATTTGTCTCTTTATTAACAAAAAAAAGTCGTAACTCTATTCAACTATACTCACCGAATGGACAATGGTATCAGTTTCCCAAAATCATATATATTCTTTTAAAGCCAACTTAGCAAGATAGATTGATTTCAAAGATGAGTTACTTACATGACCGCTAACTTCTGCACCAACCAAACTAATATAGTTTTTTTTATTATAAAGAGACTATGAGTTTATTCAATCCATGATTTTTTATTAAGAGCAATACACTTTATTGGTATGGCCAAAAAAATAAAATAAAATTGGGAGTGAATATTATTGTTATAAATTTTTGTATGTACTAGTTTGATATGAGGAAAAAAATTAAATTAGTAATTAAAAATCGTATATGTATGTCAGAATAATTTTTTGCAAATGATCATAAAAATATTGAAAATAATTAGTTTAATTCATGTTTGATATTTTTTAATCCAAAATAGGTATTTGATGTAATATTCTATGGTTATTTTATTTCCAATTGATTATGATTAATATAATGAAGGTACGTTTATACAACGTCATTCTAAATGTAAAGCAGACAGTATTGAAGAGATATTTGCGTTGCTGCGTGTAGTGTATAAATGTATAATTAACTCGTGCAAGATAAGCATGTACAATAATTTAAAATTTAATTGTAGGTTTTGGTTGATAAAAGTTGTTTACATTAACAACTAATCATACAAGGATTTTACCTCTATCAATATAACGTTTTTCTCATGCACACAGATTGAATATCTTCTATATATATGTTTAAGAAACAAAAGTATATAATAACGTTGCTTATGTTAGCAATGACTTAATTTTGAACGAAAAATATAATCGAAATTATTTGTTGCATGAAAGAAAGTTCAATCAATTTTTTTTTTTATCAGCAAGTTCAAAAAATGAAACATTTTTTTTAATTTAACCGATGAAGAACAAATTATATTGTGATTTTGTTCATATTAATGAATCCAAACAAAAATATAGTTTTTAAGTTTCTAAAATTGAAAATATTGTACATAAGTTAGTAGTGAGTTAGTATTTTAACAAAAAGTTAATAGGTAGAATTATGTATTAACATGTTAATTCAAATAATGATGCATTTTAGATCTTCAAAAGAATTTCTAATCTTTTTTAACTAAGAATATCACATTATTCAATGGATAATAATTAATGTTTTCTTAAACTGTGTAATTATTCCTCTTAATAAATGTTTTATAAAGATTAAGCAACAATCTTTACCTTGTATGATACTAATAGATTGGGGGAAATTTTACAACCAACTCCTTATTAGTATATGAATTTATAATCTATTATTAGTACAATTTTTAATTAATAAAATTTCAATAAAATATGGATAATTGAGAGTTACATCCATAATACTCTTCAATTATTATCATAATCATTACTATATAATATAATTCTAATAAGAGTAATGTAGTGTTTTTTACGTCTTATCTTTGCCTAAAGCAATTCATTTTCACCACTTTTTCCGCAACAGAGAAAGTAAATTTGGTGTCATAACCCCATTTTCCCCTTCTTTTCTCCCATTTTCACATTGCAACCACAATAGGA